TCTATTACTTTTGTTCAATAATAAAATCAGATAAGTGACAGTTGACGGAGACTTATAGTTTCGTGTATATCTCAAATAAGAAAATGAATAGTGAAATTTTGCTCATTACACCCTTCATAGTGCGTCACTAAGATATATCAAAATGTTTCAGTCAATCTATACCGATGATCATCAACTAACATAGTTCTATTCCTGCACATAGGATACGACGTTTCGATAGCTACAAAATTGGTTTCCTTTCCACATTGCAGAAGCTGAACTACTAAGGCAGAATAGGCCATGGCGAAATTCACGAAAGTTCGATAGGTATGATCTGCTCAACTCCTATAGCAATCAAATCTTAAGAAAAGATAGTAATGTTTTAACTATAATGTATAAAGTTCACCAGATGTATTATATAGGCTGATAGGAGGATGGGGTGGGAAGAAGGGAGCACACCTGTGTCACTATGAACTTCACTAATAATAAACAATCATGTTTCACAAAAGCATTACAGCCTACTTATACCTGATAACTAAGAAACTGAAATTTGAAAGTAGTAAGACGTAAAACAGGGACAGTTCTATAGTTCCATTCATATACCTACCTCGATAAGTCTTGTATATGTTTTCTTTACTGTTTTCTAAAGAGTAATCCATATGAATTAGTAGAGAATGATATACTAGTTCGTTTTTGTTAGAAACGTGCTGGTAACCATAGAAATAGACGTTTGTTTGCAATGATGCAGTACATTGGCTATAATTCATTCCATTTTACAAACAACTAACATAGACTAACTCAAAGATTGAGTGAAATACAATTTCGAAGAAGATAACGTGTTGTTTTACCTATGCCGTAAGGCACAATATTCTGTACCTTAATGCATCACACAATCAAAATAATGAAAAAGAAATGTTAAGGATAGTCAATTTTGGTTATGAAGAAAACAATCTGAAGAAAAATCAAATGTGTGAGATTCAAGAGCAATGTATACTGGGAAATGCTTGAAATAAAATAATTTAAAAATATACTATGGTCACACATGTGATGACTATTCTACTGCTTATCAATGTGTATTTGGATTGTAAAATTATCAAGACTAAACTAAAATGCCTTTTTTAACGCAACATACAATTTGCTGCAAGCTGCTTTAAAATTCGATTCATATAGGTGTTCGTTAGAGGAAGTTGGCAACTAAAACCAAGTCCTTATGAATATTACTATCTAATCGATTGTCTGAAAGTCACAGTTTGTTGAAATATAACAGATTTCATCCATAAAATGATGTTACAAAATCAGAGAAGTCACCCATAAGAGTTAATTAATAACTTAAGGGACAAGTGCAATACAGTCAATTCAATTCAATTCTTTTCTCCTTTATACACAGAGAGAGATCACCTTGTCTGTAGCTTTAACCGAAAAAAAAAGGTTTGTACGACTTGAGAAAATTTATTGAGTCAGCACAAATATCATAGATCTTTACGTCATGTTCATTATTAAATATTGAGCGAAATATCATGATGAGCGAATATCTAGGGACAACTGGCAGCAATAATTAACCGTGGTTGTAAAAATGAAGTATATGTCTGAGATGCTCGTTGTAAGATCGACAGTATGTACTCATGCATACGATCCATTCGTATTACTGAGTATCTCTAACGCAAGTGCGAAACCTAATCGGCAAATTAGTACCGAATCGATCGATTTGTCGATTACTGGTATGACTTATTTGAAGCCTTACAAATGACAGGTTTTTCGTCAGTGTTTTATCAATATTCGGGACACTGAAGCTAGCCAATTTTGCTCATTTTATATCGTTTTTTATGAATGTAACTATCCAAAGATATGAACTTGTAAGTTGCAGGCTTCCGACAATGTAGAATGTATTAATTATTGATGATCTTGACAAATTTGCTAGTCATTAGAAATTAAATTCGATCTAACGAGGGAACATTCCCAAGTGATACCCACCGTTTCAGCTCATATTGTGTCCACAAGTAGATCTCAGTAAGACTAGAGAAAGTCTAAATTGGTTTGTGCCATTGCGCCTTTGGAGCAGAGTTAGGCCTGATTTATTGAATTTTCGCCCCTTTGTAAGGTACTGACCGAAAAATGAAATAATGAAATTTCCATCTGAAATTTCTATCATAGATAGATGTACTTATATCTAGAATATCCTGAAAGTTTCAGCCGAATAGAATGTTCCTGTGCCGAGTTATTGAATTTTCAATTATACTCGACTTTTGTGAAATATCTGTGGCAAATGACTATTTTTTGGAAATTCAATAACTCGGCACAGGAACATTCTATTCGGCTGAAACTTTCAGGATATTCTAGATATAAGTACATCTATGTATGATAGAAATTTCAGATGGAAATTTCATTATTTCATTTTTCGGTCAGTACCTTACAAAGGGGCGAAAATTCAAAAAATGAGGCCTAACTCGACTCCAAAGGCGCAATGGCACAAACCCTTTTAGACTTTCTCTAGTCTTACTGAAATCTACTTGTGGGCACAATATGAGTTGAAACGGTGGGTATCACTTGGGAATGTTCCCTCGTAAGCTAAAAATGTTTCATCTCGAAATTTTGAATTCATATTTCTGGGCTTTTGAGTTAATGGACGAAGATGTGGATGCGACTGAAACGTTTGTTGTAAATAGAGGATGGCGATCTTGATATGTTCTACATCACAGGTGTTCGCACAGAGTGCGTAAGTGAGTGTATTGAGAACGCTACGGATAATACGACAGGCTACTATGTGGAGTGTGACTAGAATATTCCCTTTCCGGTTGGTTATTGAGTTTTATCTGAGAATGTTAGTAGGATGTCTGATATGAGGTACGGTGTGTAGATCCGGTTTGAGATGTGAGTCTTTTTAGCTAAACTTAACGGGCTCAAAAATGCTGAAGCAAACTGATTCTGAGCCCTCATCATAAATTCTCGCTATCCCACTTTCTTAAAGATTAGTTAGACTCAATCAACATAGCTGCTACACACTGAATGCCAATCAAGTTGGCTCCAAAGAACTGGTGACTGACGAAATTATGAAAAGATATTACCTAAATGAAACTGTTGTGATCACAAGCAGATGAGAACAAACGCACTGCCGACAAACGTCTACGTAATTTTACCTATGCAAAGAATAGTTGTATTTTGTCCTTCTGTTTGTCGGTTGCTGAAGTCAACATTTTTCTTACTTTTTTGTGCTTTTTTTTCTTCGTTCTCCATTAATGTCAATAGAAAAAATAATGGCTGTGATAATTTTATTTAAGAGAGAGAGAGACATCCAAATTTCAGCGAAAGAGTGTGTCATACAACAACATCCAAGACTTCGTTCACGTGGATGACTCTTATGAAAAGAATAACTGAGAAGAGGAGCATAACCAAGGGGGAAAAAGCGAAATTTTCAGAGTGCTTACTCCCACCATACTCCCATTGTACTCCCATCGTACTCCCATCGTACTCCCATTGTACTCCCACCGTACTCCCATTGTACTCCCACCGTACTCCCATTGTACTCCCATCGTACTTCCATTGTACTCCCACTGTACCTCCACCGTACTCCCATCGTACTCCCACCGTACTCCCACTGTACTCCCATTGCACTCCCACTGTACTCCCACTGTACTCCCACTGTACTCCCACTGTACTTCCATTGGACTCCCACTGTACTCCCATTGTACTTCTTCAGAATCCATTTTGTTTTGCTTTATAGCATCTGTCTTTACTACACCTTAACTATATTTCAACAGATGGAACATAGCGTTTCCATGCGCTACTTAGAAAAATTTCAGATGAAAGTAAAATCCATGTATTTCTAAAAATTATTTTTTGCAGCCGCATCCGTATAACTTGTGATAATGAATGTGAGTTGCAGGGAACTCATTATAGCATCGTAAAAAGAGTACCTTAATATGATGAAAACTAGCTTCTTTGTTTCATACGCATGCTTATAAGAGTGGTGTCGTGAAAATAGTTACTGTTTTCAACAAGCGAATCTCGTTGAATGAAACGCAATATATATGAAGAACATTCATTTAATTTTTTTTCTTAAGTCATTCATATTGTCTTATTGATTCATCCACAGTTTGTAGAAAAAAGCCTGCAATTGCAATTCTCCATAGTGAAACTTGGATTGGTACGAGAAAAAAAAGACAACGCGACTGTTTCGAAGTTTATGCAAATAAAATCAGACAGATTATGTAATATCTATAAACCATTTCTTATATGTATATAACTTTATTTCTAAGAGCCAAATTTATCACCTACATTCTTAATAAATGAAAGAATTGCTATTTAATAATATTACAAATAAAAAAAATGAATACAAAAATAAAATTCTTTGTAATAGAAAAATAAATAACACATATGATTAAAGTCTAAGATATAAATAAACATATAACATAAAAAAATCTAAGTTTCTTTAAATTGCACTCGTTGAAGACGATCAGACGATAAGTGTGCTTGCCTTTCTTGCATGCACCAGCTTGCTGTAGCTTTATGCAAAAACAGTTTTTTATTACGTATATAAACAGGAAAGTATTTATGTGCATTGGCTGTTGACACTGATTGAACTAATCGCAGTCCTGAAATATAATAAACAGAAGTTAGAATAATTTTAAAGAAAGATTATGGTGCATTTGAATAGAACAAAACCCTTTAATATATACGACTTCGGAGTAGCTGTAGTGACAGTTTTTCTATTTAAAAAATTTTATTTCATAAGATTCGATTGTTAGATGAAAACAAGTTCTTATACAATATTTTGCCATTAATTTTAATTATTCAGTAGTAGAGTTTTAGAAGTAATCAATCATTTAAATAAATTATTTCTTATGAATAGCATCTCATTATGTGCTTGTAACAGTATTAGCTTTATATGAGTATGAACAAGTACAGATAATATTTGATGACCGATTTGCAGCCGCTCAAAACTCACTTTCACATCTCCCCAAATATTTCATCCAATTTAATACTTATTTGTAAATATGGATGAACAACGAAATATTACGTAAATTCTATATAAACTCTACTGATACATCTTTTAGAAGATAATGTTTTTGATAAACACCTGAATATGATGTAGATTGTACATTTTCGAAAGTAGATGTTGATGGTCGATCATCTTCCGATGGATAATCATTATAAGCAATTCCAATTGAATCCTCAATACCATCTTCATCATTACCATTGACTGTCTGAATATATTGAGATTCATTATTATCATCTTCAACATCTTCTTCTTTTTCTTCTTTTTTTTCTTCTTCTTCTCCTTCTTCTTCTTCTTCCTCTTCTTCTCCTTCTTCTTCTTCTTCTCCATCTTCTGCGATGAATGCATCTTCTTCATCGCTGCATTCATCATCACGACCATCAAGAAGAAGAATTTCAGATTCAGTTAATGTATTCATTTGTAATAAATCTTTTGCCATTTTCGATGATTCTTCTATGTTGTAAATTTTATACTTGATCAAATCTTTATGCATTCCTACAGATTCGACCATCTCTTGTGCTGTTTCATAAGCACGAAGAATAATTTCTTCGATGTGTTCCGAACTAAAATCAGTATCTTCAGTGATATTATTAGATTCATTGTATTCATTTATACGCTTGATCTTGTGATGAACAGGAAAAACGATTTTTGCTTGTTTATTATTTGATTCGAACTGTTTTATTTCCGTTAATGCATTTAATTTATTGATTCTTTGTAAAAATTGTTTTATAGTAAAGTTGATTCTCGTAGAATATACACCTGACAGAGCACGTGCATCTCGAAAAATGGCTTCACACGGCTGAGATGAGAACAAATGGATTGAATTCGAAATTGATTTAGGAATGAGTTTTTGATTGATCAATAAAGATATAAATATTAATGTGTGAGCATTCAGTTCTATTGACATTAAAGAATTGGATGTAATAAAATAATTACGATCATTATTGTGAACAAATGATTTACAAATTTTCTTTGTTTTATATAACCACAATCGCCATAATCTAATGAAGAACACTACTGTCCATGCATAATAGATTCTAGTTGATAAAGAAATTTCAGATTGAGTATAAGTTTTGATTAATAAATTGATAAGCAATAAATAATTAAAAGTTCCAATATAATCTTCATTCGATGATAACAAATTCAACACCTTTTCGTCGCAAATTTTTTGACAAGATGCAAAATTTTGTTTATCTTTTACTCTTAAATCAGATTTAGATAAATTACTATCAACCTTATTGGTTGATTCAATTAATTGATATAAATGTTCGACTGTTATTTTAAATGATCCTGTACGAAGACAAACTTTTGGAGACAAAAGACGATTACGCATCTTATTACAAAGATGTATGCCATCTTGTAAGAATAGAAACAATTGAGTAGGATGAAGAAAATACCATGAACACCAAGCAAATGGTATATCAATTGTGAATGATAATTTGTCATTATAAATATGTATTGTTCGATCTTTTACGAAAAAGTTATAAGCCAACCGCATAGCGCGGAGGTATTTCGGGTCCCCATCTGTGGATACGCCTAAGACAAAAATATTTCTTGAACGTAATTCGAAGTACATCATTAGCCATCGTTGTATTATATCGATAGACGAAATTTTACAATCAGTGCCATAGGCAGCAAGCACTGTTGCTGATGGTTTAAAACAATTAGTATTCGATATTGGCTGAAGTGCATGTACATTTACGAGATTAGAACGTGAATGATTATCAAATAAATCTTGTAATTCTTCGAATGATTGACAAATAAAAGCATTTTCGATTGGTTTGCCTTTTATAATCGGTGTAACAAATCCATTAAAACAATCAAAAGTTGAGTCATATTCAACTCTTGGGATAATCCCTGAACAGTCCTCGGATAAGAAAACATATTGACAATCCATGGAATCAAGGTAAACCTTTGATTCATTAAATCGAAATTGAGCTTCACGATACGGATTTTCTTTATAAACAGTGTTGACTGTTTGAATTGATGGTAAAAGATACTTGAAGTTAAATCGAAGAAATTGGTACACATAAGCACCAGCAAGTATAAGGATGCAGGCAGCAAATCTTAAAACAGCATTTCCGTATCGATAATTGTTCGGTGTTCGATTTGAATTCAAGTGAATTGTTTCAAGTAATACAGATAAAATATCAGAAGGATCGAATTTACCCCATAAAATCTTAATAAATTCGCCCTACACATATTAAGATCTTTCAAGATTTAAATCTGCTCACCTCTTGTTCATTTATTCTTTTGTTATCTCTTGTTGTCAACTTATATTTGTTTTGTTCTTCATTTTCATCATACTTCCGTTTCTTTGATTGAGACAAACTGTTTGAATTTACATCCTACAAATCAAAGAGTATTCAATGAGATCATATTTTTATTTTTATAAAGAACGTACTTGTTGATGTGATGATTTTATATATCGATAATTGGATGGAAAATTTGTGGTTTGTCGTTGTTGGCTATTTAACATTTGCTAAAATAGGAGAATTATAAGTAAATAGTCTATGTTATTCACACATTATTCAGAGCAAATATTATGTCCACTTTATGTTTGGCTCATATTGTTGAATAAAATATTCATATAAATCGTTTTCTCTAATCCTCAAGATGTGTTTTTCAATAAGAAAAAGTCTTTCTCTCTCTACATTATGCTAAGAATAGAACTTTTCAGTGAAGATACAGAAAAACTTAAATATTATTCAAAAAATATATACTGGAAACCTATCGTATTAGCTCAGCATCGAAATGAATTTTTTTATTTTAATTTTTCAGTATGTAAAAATCTAAGTAGACATATGTATTACTTATAAAAATAAAACGTACATAAGGAAAAACTTTAGTTATACATAGAATGATATTTAGGCGTACCTTGTTTTTATTTATTGATGAAAGAATCGAAATTGAACTATGTGTTTCACCTTCGTCGGGAGCCATACGATTTGATGTTTGTCCACTTTGTCTTTTTTTTTATTAAGAAAAGTAAAACGGTTCTTTGATATTGGATTTAATAAAGACTTACCGATTTTTTGATGAACCAACAGTTGCATTACCGTAACGATTACTTTTCGGAACTACACCAGAATTTCCACTTTGTCTATAATTGAGAAACAATACGAAAAAAAAAAAGAACATGGTAAATGAAAAACAATATTAGTTACGTTTGTTTTGGTCTTATTGGTATTGGTGTATCATCATTGATAGTATCATCAAATGTAGATGTATCTAAACTAGTGTTATTGATTGATCGAGTACTTTCTTTTTTTGAACATTGACTACCACTTGGTAGCTGTGGTTCTCCTAATTCTTCATCTTCATTACCGGTACTAGGTATTTGATTTTTTCTATTGGAATTTAGATGTTTTATTAAATTTGATAATTGAAAATGTTGGCTTTTGTAGTACAATCTAATACGATCATTACAAACACATTGTATGGAACAAGTTGGTGTAAGTAATTCGTTGTTATGGTCCACAAAAATTTGAAAGTTTTTCACTGATACATTTGTAAATACAGAACCATGAATGCTTCTATCCATTTTGATCAATAATTTATCGATAGATTCTTCGATTGATTTTTGATATTTTTCAAAATTATTATCAATGGCAATATTGTTGTCATCGGTTGATGATGACGTCGATCGATATTGATTGACTCGACTCAATCTTGCTTCAGAACGTAATTGAAATCTTTTTTTCTTAATAATATTTTGAGCTGATTTTAATAATGAGATGAGTTTTTTCCGTGTTCCAACTTTTAATGATGTGGAATACTGGGATATGGTGCAGATTTCTTTTTTCAAGTTCATTAATTCATCGGTACAATTTTCATCATCAGGTTTTTCAAATAATTCAATCAGTTCCTGTTGACTAACTTGATTTAAAACTTTGTAACTATCCACATCGTGATATCGTAAAATTTTCATAACTAGTTTTCCATATATCTCTTCTATATGTTGATAAAACTGTTCACCTGTCAAAGTAATTAAATGTTCAATGTCATTATTATCCATAATTTAAAATAATCGAGTGCAATAATTATAAAAAATGAAATAATAAAATTATAAATTAAAACAGTAAAAAATCGAGTAAATATGAATTCACTAGTTTATTATTGATTTTGATTTGTTCGTTTGCTTTTGTCAACGGCACATCAAAAAAACATTGCCACCATAGTTACCATAAGAATATGGTACTCAAAGTAGTTGTTCTTTATAATTAAGATTTACTAGGAAATGAATGATATTTTTTTAGAAAATGATGAAGGTCATTGATATTTTCGTTAAATCTGAAGAACACCTCTGATCAATATTAGCTTTACTGTGCATAGGAAATATCAAAAGTTGCTTAAAATTGTTTTGTCGAAGTCGTTTCTTCTATATTTTGTATATATAGCAGGAACATCTAATTGCGTATCAATCTAATACTTGCTCCTTTATCTATATGATATAATATTTGATATGGTGGTACCTTAATAATTTAGTCAAACGTCAAAATCTTAGCATTTTCAAAAAACAATGAACTCGACTTTTGACAACATAAAATAGAAAGATACTGGAAATTAGCTGAGGATGTTATTTCAAATTATTTGTATTTGACTAATATTGATATGATTTTTTAATGATCAAATCGAGTTCTTTAGTTGATTCTTTTGCTGTGAGTTAACGTTTATTGAAGTTTTAATCTCAAGTAATTTTTATTATTTGATCGAATATTGGTAGAATAGAAACGGATAGATTACCATTTTCAAAAATTTATCATGGAATATATTGCTTAAAACAAGACTATACTACATTGTTATTGTTTTCAGATACACGATGAGCTGTAGCAATCAGAAGTGCTATTGGTAAAATACAAACTAGAAAAATTTGTAATTTCATGAAGTGTTCTGTTTCAAAAATTTTTATCCAATGTATTACTATATATCTTAAATTTAAATAGTTTCATCTCTCACGAAGATCATTGCTTTGATATCTTGCAGCTGCTCATATTTCAAGGTACTTCTATGTACTGTTATTATACTTCTCTTGTACTTTCATCATACTTCTTTGTACTTCCATCGTTCTCCCATTGTACTCCCACTGTACTCCCATTGTACTCCCACTGTACTTCCATTGTACTCCCACTGTACTCCCACTGTACTCCCACTGTACTCCCACTGT